GATTCCGAGAGAACTCGCAGATTCTCGGCAAGAGCTCCCTGAGGGGGCTAAGCAAACGCTCAGAGAGCCCCAAGAGGCCTCAGCAGTGCCCAAGAGGATCCGAAGAGAGGCCCAAGATGGCTCCAAAAGATCTCGGGGAATCCCGTCTCAACAACACTTCAAGTCGCCCGGACATCGTTTCTGGATGGGCAGCCTTGTGAGGATTCGGGGAACGCCAAGGAATGCTAGTTGCGTTTCCTCCTTCTCCTGTTCTTCCCTCTGGTCCCACTCTTCCTCCTCCTCCTCCTCCTCCTCCCCCTCCTCCTCCTCATCCTCCTCATCCTAGATCGGGCCTGTCGCGGAAGGGCCTTCGACCCCCGCGCAGAGGGGGGGCGGCGACCGCGACAGCGACGGCGACGATGGCGATTGCGCAGCGGGAAAGCGGAAAAGGAGGAGAACGAAGACGATGACGAAAACGGCCCTTCTGGAGGTGGTGTTGTTTCTTTCGGTTTTCTCGCTCGGCCCCCACAGGGCTGAGGAGGAATCCCGGGAAAGCGAGAGGGGCGAAAACGAGCGGAGAAACCGCAGCGGTGGTTTTCCGGGGACCCGGCGCCGCAAATTAATGATGCTTTTTGTGTGTGCCAAGGCGGGCAAGTACATTGCAACAACAATGATATCATATCAACCTGATCGCTGGCAAATATCTATGAGCACTGTCGTAGAAATTGACGTAGTAATTTACAATACTCTGTAGGGGAAGTACGGCCCCCGGCGTATGGCCGGCCCTTTGGATAATACAGCTTCCGATATTCGCACGCGAGGTGCGCCAGCATCTGTGCATCCTGTAAAGAAGCATAATGTTCCAATTTGTTTATCAATTTCTGCCCCTTCCGACCGAGGTCAGATGCAACAGCTTTGATAGCATCTGGAAATACACGCAAGAGGTCGCACAGGTTTTTGCTGACACTATCGGGGCCGCCCTTCTCGGCGAGTCGGTCTGCCTGGGGGCGGTCTTCACCGCCGAGCATGATCAGGCCGATGTGGGCGTAGTAACCTGCACGATTACAGGAAGGTGCAGCGAAGAGGTCCGGGTAGTGCGTACCGATGTCCCGGGCCACCACGTCGGCCAGAATGCCGCGCAGACGCAGCTCACCTAAACATTTAATGACATGGTCATTTTGGGTCACCCCAGAAATCCGGGGGCCCTCGAGGATGGTCGCCCACACGGCGCGGCAACGAGCCCCGTTGGCCATGCACACCCAGTGGACATATTCTGCACAATTTTCCCGATGTGTGTCTTTGCCAAAAGTCGAAAGAACTCCTCTGGCAGACCCAAGCAAGGACGAAGGCGGCGCTCCCGCAACAGGCGCGCCAGTCTCTGCGCACCGAGGTTCTATCCATTTGTTGTCGTATTTCTTCAAGAAAGAATCTGCGTCCATGTTGAACTTGAAAGGCGCTTTCATTGCTTTCAGTCTGGAGGCACTGTTCAAAACGACCCGGTCTATGACGAGGTTGCCAAGAAAGAGCGGCCCGTCGGCTGGGATGCATTGCGTATGCAGGTGCAAGTGAGTGGTGTCAAATTTGTAATGAAAGTTGTTGCGTGCGCGAGCCTGGGGCCCTCGCAGGGCCTTCTGTTGTTCCGAGGGAAACTGTAGGAAGAACTCGTCCGCGGCGCCATCAATGCCCTCGCCAATCCGGTCTAGCCACTCGGCAAGGAAGAAGAGTGTCATGCGACAGTAATCCGCCACGCGGCCCGGATCGAACTCTGTCGCTGTATGCCGCAGCGCCACGGTCAGTGACGGAGCTTTGCGTTTTTTGGTGGGCCTCTGCGACTTCTCTCGCGATGCTGACCACTCTTGGGGTGAAACCAAAGTGCCGTCAGTAGTCAGCACCATGCCGGTCTTGATGCCCTCGATGGTAGATGCGCAGAGTTGCACGCCTGTTCCACGTGTGGGTCTCCATTTCTCGCAAAGCTCAATGGCAGGCTTTCTGGCCTTCTTATGACTTAAACAGAAGACCGTCAGACAGCTCCATCGCGCTAAGAGGTGAGTTTCCTCGTTGACGTGGAGTACCCATGCTTCGCGCCGAGTGGACGTGAGGCGGGACTCGGGCACTGGAGTTTCGCAACCGCATGCGCAGTAAGAGGCAAAGCGGCGTTTCGACATACTGTATGTCTTCGTGTCCTGTTGTGTTCCAAGAGTTCCTTGAGCCAGAAGCTGGCTACGGAAGAACAGTGTTCAGATGATGGGACGGCTTACACCCTTGCTTCTGCGATGTGGAAACATTCCTGTGCTGTGTGGGAATTTGCATGGGTGCGGTGAAAATCTGTGGGAATCTCGTTAAAAATGCGCTGCCGATGACGATGCCTTGAACAGCTGGTGCGGTTTGCGTTGGAGTTCCTTTCACTTTCGTTTGCTGTGGCAATGGCTGTGCCACCCAACGGAACACCCAACGGAACACTTTACGCAGACACCCCTCGAGTAACGTATTGTGAACAATCCCACGGAAAACACCCCAGGAAACACATGCGCAGCATTCCCGCGAAACGAAAACATTCCACGAAACACCACGCGAAAAGCACCACGCGAAGAACACCCCACGAAACATTCAACAGAACACAGAACACGAAACACACCTTACGAAGCACGACACGAAGAACACCCCACGAAACACCCAACGAAACACCCCACGAAGAACACTCCACGGCACACCACGCGAAAGCACACCACGAAACACCACGCGAAAAACAGCGCACGAAAACCACCCCACGAAACACCTAACGAAGCACACAACACGAAGCACACCCCACGAAACACAATACGAAAAACACCCCACGAGTCACCGACCGAAACACCCCACGAAAAAGCGCCCCACGAAACACCCCACGAAAGCACCCCACGAACACCACGCGAGGAAATCACAACACACCACGAAACAACGAACGAAACACACAACACGAAACCCGCCTCACGAAACACGACACGAGAAACACCCCACGAAACACCCTACGGAAAACACCCCACGAAACACCACGGGAAAATGCCCCACGGAACATCACACTAAAACCATCACACGAAGAACACCACACGAAAAACATCACACGAAAACCACTCCACGAGACACCGAACAAAACACACAACGCGAGACACACCCCACGAAACACGACACGAAGAACTCTCCACTAAACATTCTACGAAATACAGCCCACGAAGGACCACACGAAAACACATCACGAAACACCGCGCGAAGAACATCACACGGAAAAAACAACGGAACACCGAACAAAACACACAACACGAAGCACACCCCACGAAACACGACACGCAGAACACCCCACGAAACACCCCACGAAGAGCATCCCACGAAAAGCTGACGACGACGGCGGCGAGGACGAGGAAGCCCACGAAATCTAACGATTATGTCTTTGCGCGCGACTCCGAGAAGCGTGCGGTGGTCCTCCCCTTCAGGAGTAGCCAATCTCTTGGTTTCGTCCTTCGCGTCGTCGTCGTCGTCGTCGTCGTCGTCCCCCTCCTCATTCTATTTGTCTTCTTTCTTTGCGTCTTCCTCCTCCTCTTCCCCCTCCTCGTCCTTGTCCTCTTCATCCTCCTGCCGGCAACGAAGCCTTGAACAGCTGGTGTGGTTTGCGTTGGCGTTTCTTATGCTCTCGTTGTGCTGTGGCAATGGTTGCGCCACCCCGTGGAACACCCCACGGAACCCTTTACGAAGACACCCCTGAGGAACATATTGCGGACCATCTCACGGGAAACTCCCCACGAAACACATACGCAGCATCTCGCGAAATGAAAACACCCCACGGAACATCGCGCGAAAAACATCACACGAAAAACACCCCACGAAACACTTGACAAAACACACAACACGAAAGACACCCCACGAAACACCCAACGAAACACCTCACGAAAAACATCCCACGACACACCACACGAAAACACCCCACGAAACACCACGCGGAAAACATCACACGAAAAACACCCCACGAAACACCGGACGAAACACACAACACGAAACACACTCCACGAAACACGATGCGAAAAACACCCCACGAAACACCCTGCGGAAGACCCCGCGGAAAAGCACCCCACAAAACACCCCACGAAAACTGCCGACGGAAAAGAACACACGAGGAACACCCCACGAAGTACCGAACAACACGCACAACACGAAGCACACCCCACGAAACCCGAGACGAGGAACACCCCACGAAACGCCCCACGAAACACCTCACGGTGAACACCCCACGTAACACCATATGAGCACCTCCCACGAAACACCGTGTGAAGAACATCACACGGAAAACATCCCACGAAACACGGAACGAAACACACAACACGAAACACATCCCACGAAACAGGACACGAAGAACACCCAACGAAATACCCCACGAAACACCCCACGAAGAACACCCCACGGAAAATCGCGCGAAAAAATCTTGGGAGCACCGAAACACCCGACGAAGTACACCCCACGAAATACCTCACGAAACACTCCACGAAACACATCTCACGAAACAGGACACGAAGAACACCCCACGAAATACCCCACGAAACACCCCACGAAGTACCCCACGAAACACTCCACGAAGAACACCCCACGGAACACCCCACGAAGAACACCCCACGGAACACAGCACATTGGGGGGCGCCGGGTGGTTCGAAAGCTGGCCGTCTCTCACGTCGGGTCCTAAGGGTTCCCACAGTTTGCGTGGGCCACTGGACCACGGGTCGCGCAGATCGGGGCCGATGGGGTTTCCCACGTCTTGCGCGGGCACCTGGAAACGAAATCAAGGACGGTGGCGTTGTGTGGTTCGTAGGTGAGGAGACTCGCCAAAAACAGTGCTTGCATGGGGATGGAGAGAGAAGGAGACATACCAACGAAAGTGTTTTTTCGCATGTCCGAATGTATAAAGCAAGGGGGCAATAGTTGAGCCCCGGGCCGTCATGGGCTCGCACCTTCGGGCTTCGACGAAGTCCGACGTGCGTCGAGAGACATGGCTGGGCCGTTTACCTGGAGCTGGGGCGGCGCCTCACCGCCGCCGTCGTCTTCGCGATGGTCTTCGTCACGGGGCACTTGCTGGCGGGCTTCTTGGACGGGGCGACGCCGGCGGAGGGCTGCGACGTGGAAGAAGAGGAAGTCGATGGCGTGACGGGCTGGGTGAAAGCCACGACGCTGCCGAGCTCGGAAGCCCACGTCTTCAGGGCGTTGTGAACCTTGACGGGCACATTCGGCGCAATTGAGATCGCGAAGTTCAGCAACTCAGTGATGGTGTACGGCTCCGAGGTGTGCTTGGTGCCCGTGCGGGTCATTGACACGCGGTTAGAAAGTATCTTCGCCTGCGCATTCCACGCGGTCTGGTTTGGAGTGGCGGGGACGGCCATGTCTGCGGACACGAAGGCGTCGATGAGGATGTGCTTCGTGATGTCGCCGATGAAGTTGCATGCTTTGGCCGCGGCCGCGTCAGAGTTCCCGTATGCGGCGCCCACCCACGCCCAACTGCGGCCCTGCGTGGGGTTCGCGGCGGCGGTGGGCGGCATGAAGTTGGCATGCGTCCTGACCACGCCTGCCGGGGTGCTGGGAAGGCCCACCTGCTCCATCGCGCGAGCCGACAAAGTGCTGAGGCCATGGCGGTTGGCCGGTTGCGTGGCCTTGAGGCTGGCGCCATCTGCAAAGGTCACGCGTGCGCCAGCGTTCTTCTTGCCCGGGATGTCGATCATCTCCAAGTGCACCGAGATGGTATACAATGATGCCTGCTTCCGCTGACCCTGCACTGGCGTGCTCTCCGGCGCCTTGGCGGTGTTCAGGAGCGCATTCTTAATGCTCGCCTTGGGAGGCATCGGAGGCGGCGGTTTGGCCGGGGCTGGGTCTAAGCACGGTGCTGCCGAAGCGCGCCCGCAGCTGCGGATCTCTCGAGCCTTCGACGGCGGCGGCACGCAGTGTGTACAATGACATGCCCGTGCGGTCTCGAAGGCCGAGACGGCAACAGATCGGGGATAGGGGTTCCCACAGCTTGCGCGGGGCCCCGCGGAGCTAGAGCGGGCTACCTGAATCTGGGCCAGATGGGGGTCTCACAGGGTACGCCGGACGCCCGAGACGACAGCGGGAACGGGCGGGCTCGGGAGAGTCCTGGGAGCAGGCGGGAGACACTCGGCTCGTTTTGGCGAAGTGGGGGTCAGGGTGGGAGGCAGAGGGGGCGAGGGGGAGAGCAAGGGCGAGTGGATGCAGAGACTGATGTATGTCTTTTTCAGGGCTCTGGCGGGCCGCGCTGTCAAGGGCGCCGGTGGCGCGGCGTGGCGGCGGCGGGTCGTTTGCGGACCGCGGCGCGAGGAGCGGCAGCACTCTCTAGCAATAGTTCTGTCCAAACTATGTTCTTCGTGAGGGCGTGCCCAGCAGCCGTGCGTCGCTCTGAGGCGGCGAGGATCCTAAGGTCGGAACGGCGTTGGGCACGGCTGAGCGCCACGTACAGGTGCCCGTGCGTGAAAGGGCTGCGCCGCAGATCGATCACGCACTTGTTGAGGGTGCTGCCCTGAGCGCCGTTCAGGGTGGAGGCGTACGCTGGGCGCAGGGGAAATTGTCGGCGCACGATGGTTGTTGCACCCTTGGCCAAGTGCCAGCGGAAGCAGATCCGGGGTAAAGGGAAGCGTCTGCCGTCCAGCGTGTCGACATCCACGTGATTGTCGTGGACGGCGACGAGGACCACCCGAGTGTGGTTCATCAGACGATCCTGTGGACTGAAGTTCCGCATTATTTCATACAAAGCGCCGACGACCAGTCGAAGACGGTGGGGGGGAACCCCGTGTTCGGTCTGGACGTTGAGAAATTCGGGCGTGACGTGAGGTTCTATGAAGTGGTCGTCCCGGTCTATCTCTATAGAGTCGGCGCTGAATCGGTGGTATTCGGCGCGACGGTAAGTGTGCGCGAGGATGTCCAGGACCATGTCGTTGAAAGCGTCAACGGTGTCGTTCGTGACGGCGAGGATCTTGGACTTGGCGCAAGCATGGGTGTCGTTGGGGTGGGGAAAGCAGAAGTCAATGGCTTCGCGGGGATCGAGTATGGTCGGGCAGAGGTGCAATTCCAAGTAACCCGGAGTGCCATCGACGGAGTGATTGGCTTCGGCAGTTCCGTTGCCGATCGTCTCGATCCAGCGAGCGTATGTGGGATCAGCATGTTGCCTGTGTTTGGTGGTGAGCCGGTGGCATTCGAAACGGTCCCACGTTGCCGACGAACGCACGCTCATTGCAACAATGTCGCGTCTGGACGCATGCTTGAGGACAGGGGGGATCTGGCGGAAGTCCCCGTAGCATATGATGACCTTGGGAGAGTATGCGTCGGGGGCTGCATGTCGCAGGGTGTCCAGGAACTGCACGACGGCATCCCATGCTGTCCTCTTCGTTCCGGGCCATTCGTCCCATTGTATGACGGAAGCGCGAGCTAGCCGCGCGGCATCAGCAGTCTGCAAGCCCAGAGTGCAAGTCAACGGATCCTCGTCGCCCAAAGGGATCTTGAATGTGGAGTGGGCCGTGGCGCCGTGAGGTAAGAGGAGGGCGGCCTGTCCTGTCGTGGCCACGTTCACACAGGATTTGCCGATAGCCTCGGTGTAGTGGTGCACGTATTGGGCCAACGTGGATTTGCCAGTGCCAGCGGCGCCGTGGACGAAGACGAACTTGGATGCATTGGCGTCGATATGTCCAGTGATCGTCTCGGTGGCCGCGCGCTGCTCTGAATCGCTGCGCACGCGAGCCTCGAGCGCCTGGAAGGTGATCGTGGCGGGCGCGGGTGTCGAAGGAGGAGTGCTGCCGGCGGACTGTCCGCCCGTTGATTGTACGGTCACGGGCGCGTCCAAAAAGGCAAGCGCGTCGGCGCGGTCCTGCGCCGCCGCAGCAAGGCGCAAGCATTGCTTCAGTTCCGCCGCGGCAGTGGACGGCGCCATCCCCCGGTCGAGGAAGTCCTTCATGAGGTGCTGGGCGAATGCGTTGTACAGCGTCACTGGTTTAGCGTCGAGGTCGAGGAGCACGACAAAGGCGAAGCGCAGCTGGTGGGCCGTGTACCGTAATTCCACGAGTTCTTGCAGAACGCGGGCGGCCTCGTCGTCCTTGGCAAACATGCCGGTCGCCAGCATGGCCTCCTCGTACGTAGGGTACTGCGAGCCATTGTGCGATTGGCAGTCTTGGAAGCTCCTGGAGGAAGGGGGGCAAACAGTGGGGGTTATGGAAAGGGGAGGTGGTGGGGGGAGTGGAGGGGGAGGGGGAGGGCCGGAAACGTCTAAATCGAACAGACCGTGCAAAGTTTGATGGCCGTCGGGGGAGTGTAGGGAATGTTCGTTCGGGGAAGAAGAGGGGGGCGCAGGTTGGAGGCCCGGTCCTCTTGGGAAAGTGGAGGAGCATCTGTCGCAGGTAGAAGACGTCCTTCTGCCGTGGGTACTTCATCTCCAGCCGGCACACGGGCGGTTCTCCCCGCATGCGGACGTACACGTAATTCTGGCGTCCCGGCGGCGCCATGTCCGTGGTTGGGCGCACAGGGAGGTCTGCAGGTATTCGGTGCCATCGTGTAGACAGGGTGGGCCACTCGCTCTGGGGCGGTTCGACGAGGTGGTTGCCGAACACATCGGGGAAGAATCCGCGGAACGCCACGGGGCAGGTCGTGCTGACGATGAACCGTTCGAAGTACTCGGTGTATTTGCAGCTGAGGAAGGGCTCCCGGTTGGGGCGGTAGAAGTAGCGCTCCAACTGAGACGTAGTGTGGTCTGCAGCATCGGCCTCGAAATCTTCTCCAAGGTTCGCCCAGTCATCGTCGGGAAGGTGCACGGGCAAGCAAAGTACGGTGGGCACGCGCTCGTACGTGGTGTAGCCGAAGATTCGCCATGCGCACTCGGTGGCTACCAGGTACCGTCCCCGTAGCCAATCGGCAATTTCGTCTGTCGGCCGGTCTTCCGAGCCAATGGTGAACATGGTGTGGTCGGGGCCTTTGAAGAGGTACTTGAAGAGGTATTCAAAGAGATTGACTGATCCGGCGAACTTGACGTTCGCATGGCCGTCCCACTTCAAGAGTATTCGGGGGGAGTACTCAACGACCAGTCGATTGCAGCACACGTTCCGTCGTCCGCATGCAGGCCCGCCGGACTGGCAATTGGGGCAGGTGCCAGAGCACGGGCGTCGGCGGTGGTGCGGGTACCCTCGGGCGTCCATCTCGGTGGTGTCGGCGAACGGCCATGGGCAGCCTTTGATGCACTCTTGGGCGGGGTCGTCCGGGTGGCAGGAATGGTTGCACCGATGAATCATATGAAGCAGAACGCGCTCGCGGAGTGGGCCAGGTTCGGGAGGAACTTCACAGGATATGAGAGCATCGATCTCCTCGGGCGTGCAGGGCGGGTTATCCACTGCGAGAGCAATGTGGGCATGGGGGAGGCCGCGCATCTGGTACTCAATGACGCGGATGAGGTACCTTCGGCGCCCGCAGAAGTCGTTCTTGAGGAAGGAAATCATCTCCAGGAGGCGCGCGTGAAACACGCGGACGACGACGTCTGGTCTGTCAGCAGCGGTTTGTCCTGGCAGGAGGGCGGATTGAATTTCTGGCCAGTATGGGTTGCACGTCAAGGTGATGAAGAAGGTAGGCGGTCCTTTACGTCGCGCCAGTTCTAAGCAGTCGACTCGAAGACGTCGGAGATGGCGCGGGGAGCCCGGCACGCTGGAGGGCAAGAACACGCGAGTCGCAGAGGGCTCTGGACTGGGGGAGTTAGCGACCATCTCGCAGACTTGACGCCGAGTGCCACGCAGCTTGGGCTGATCACGGCGGAGGAGGCTCAATCTTTCGTCCTCCATCCGGCAGTGCATGTTGATGAGCCATTCGTTAAGCAGTCGTCCGCAAGCGTGCATGTGTGTCAACCGTAGTATGCATTGGCGGTACCACCACATTTGACTGATGTGCGCGCCGTTGACCGTGGCATCCGGGCTCCACCCACGCCCGCCGGATGGGAACCACAATGGGTAGGACAGCGGCTCGTAGAAAGGGTGTAGTGGATGGAGGTACTTGGGCGTGGTGGAGGAGTGAAGTCGGAATGTGACTGTGCGAGGCTGAGCGTGGCTGTCAGGTCGCGCGTCGACGATGGCGGCGAGCTCGTTGATACCTTCGTCCCATTTCAAGTGCACCGCTGCGTCCGGGCCTGGGCGACGCAGGGCTCCCAGCCTCTTGATTTCAGTCATGAAAGGGTTGATGGGCAGCAGGAGGCGTTCGAGGCGACGAAGTAGCGGCAGGTCCAACTGCAACGCAGTAGCTTGTCGAACGCGTTCGTGAGGGTCGACGACGAGATATCTCACGGCGGTGGAGTCGGCAGCCGTGAGTACTCGTCTGTACATCGTGCCGTGGATCCGGAGGTTCGAGGGGCGCATATAGTTCCCGAATCGGAGTTCCTTCGTAGCCCCAGCGCTCTGGATCTCGTGAACAGCCAGTGCGAATAAGTTGTTGTAGCGTCGACTGGTGGCCGTGAATCCTGTCAAACGAACAGAATTGGTGGTGGGATCGTGCAAGAGCTGACCCGCGGCGTCCCGAGCTGGCCAAGTGGAGCGGAAGATCTCCAAGAGAGCGGGAGGTGGGAGCGAGAAGAATCGTTCGAATGGGACGGCCCACCTGCCGTTGCCGCAGCAGAACGTAGGTGCTTCGGTATGGAAGAGGGAGGCCGAACAATGTGGGCAAATGCGGGTCATTTCTCCGACGGAGAACGGCACGTCTTCAAGGGACGGTCGGCCCACTACGCTGCAGTCGCGGCAAACGCTGTCAAGCGACCTGTCGCGGTCGGTGGCGAAGGCTTCCCTTGGCAAGGTGAGCCCGCAACGAACGCAACATACTTCTGGTCGTTGCCGGGAGAGGCCGGAAGTCTGAGGGGCGCTGCCGGTGCAAGCGATGCATACGCGGGAGGCTCGTCTGCGTTGGTATGTGCTGAAGCCCAGCCGCGGGACGTCCTGATCGCAACGAGTGCAATGCAGCGTGTCTGCGCTGGGGCGTCCGCGGGAAGCCGGCCGCTTGCGCACGGCGGGAGAGCCAGCATCACCCGCGCACTGTGCTGGAAACGCAGGGCGCGTGTACAGAAAGGCTGCGATGGAAGTGGTTGCTGCCACAGGCAGGAGTGAAATGCCCCAAGCCTGCGTGTTGAAGGTAGTAGGTGTGCTGAGCAGAGCATGCGCGGCACATCGGCGGGCGGTGGACATCGTCGGCCATGTCAGGCGGCATCCAGTGAGAGGGAACATCAGCGGAAACCTGGAGCCAAAACCTACGGAAGAAATCCCAGGAAACGTATGTCATGGACCATTGTTGGCTGGTCGGTGGATTCGGGGCGCTTCCGAGGCACGTGAGAAAATAAGCACGAAACGTACACCTTGCGAACATGTAGAAGTGTGGCCTCTACGGGTCTCTTGGGGGTCCTTGGGTTGTTCTCGTTTGTGTTAGGGGTGTGGGGTGGTTCTGGTGATCTGGTCGGCGACGGGGCCTCTGGAGATTCTATTTGGCCTCGCGTCAGCCTTGGCCGCAGGGGAGGTCATGTGGCAGACGAGTTTGGAAGACTGTTGAGGTCTTTTTGGAAGCTCTTGGGGTCCTCTTTGGAGCCTGTTGGAACCCTCATGGGGCCTCTCGGGGCTTTGGGGGGCCTCCTGGGGCCCTCTCGGGGTGGAAAAAGTGAGTTTGAAAGTGTTGATCGCCCTGTAGGACGCCTCTTGGGGCCTGATCGGGGCTCTCGTATGCTCTCTTGACCTGTTTGGGGGCCCTCCAGAGCCAGCAGGGGGACGTTGTAGGGCTGTCTTGGGGGGCTCCGGGGCTGTCTTGGGGCGCTCTTGAGGGCCTTTTGGGCTGTCTTGGAGCGTCGGAGACATGAAAAGGCGAGAAAACGAAAACGTCGAAAAACACATTGGAAAATCAACGATTTTGGCCTCCCGGGGCTCTCTTGGGATACCTTTTGTGGGGCCTCTTGGGGTGTCTTGAGGGCTTCGTGGGCTGTCTGGGGCGATCTTCGGTTCTCTTGGACGGGTCTGGGGCCGTCTGGAGCCTTCCTGGAGCACTCGTGAACCTCTCTGGGACCGGTCGTGGCCCGTCCTGATTGTATTTTCGGGCCGGCTCGGATCATCGGGGGAGGGCCGAATTAGGTGCTGGCCATCCGGGGGGGGGTTTTCCCTTATCATTTGATAGGGAAAAGGAATATATATATATATATATATATATATATAAAGACATAAACACTAATTTCTGCCTGTGGGCCTTCTTGAAAGGTCTCTTGGAGGCCTTTGGGGACGTCTTCCAGGCGCTTTGGGCTGTCTGGAGGCCATCTCTGGTGTCTCGGATCGCTCTTGGACAGTCTCGGACCATGTTGAGCTCTCTTGGAGGCCACATGAAGATGAAGCGCTCCTGGAGCGCTCTTGGGGGCCTGCTGGGACCTGGCCGGGACTTGGCCGGGACCTGGCCGGGACCTTGCCGGGACCTTGCCGGGTTGTTTTTCGTCCAGGGGCCTCCAGGGGCGGCCCCGCGCGCGCGAAGTAGAAATACTGTTAACCAGTTGCCGAAAATTTTAGCACGCCTTTGGCCCGTTGGGCTGGCGAATCTCTCTTCTTCTTCCCCTGCCCTGTTTCTTACGTTTCTATTCCCAACCATGCTGTGGTGTTGGGTCTTCGTTTTCAAGAGACAGCACCCCGCGTTTTCCCTCCTCCCGCTGCCCCCCCCCCTTCCCCCTCGCATCCCAGATCTCATCCACGTTTCGTGGCCCGATACGGAGCTCCATAGAAGACCCCAGTGACAGCGCCCGCATGCGGTTCCATCCTGCATGTCGGCGAACCCCTCACACGTTTCGTGGCCCCATGGGAGCTCCACCGAAAGCACCAGGGGCAGCGCCCACATTCAGTTTCACCCCCATTTTGGCGAACCCCTCACACGTCTCGTGGCCCCATAGCGAGCTCCACCGAAGGCCCCAGTGGCAGCGGCCACATACAGTTCCATTGCCATGTCGGCGAAACCGTCACACATTCTGGTGCCCTATAGGGAGTTCCACCGAACGCCCCACTGGCAGCGCCCGCATGCGGTTCCACCTTGATTTCGGTGCAACTCTCGCACGCTTCGTGGTCCAATAGGGAACTTCATCGAATGCCCCAGGGGCAGCGCCCGCATGCAATTCCACTTCCCATTTCGGCACATCCCTCACATT